TGCGATGACATATAGCATGTCTGAAATGGCAAAATCAGCTTCTGATCAATCCCTCATCAGAAAGAATTTCATCCGCAAAGACTGCGTGAAAACAGAAGCGCACCAACAAAAAAAGCAAAACACTTCAAAACCTGGAAGAAACTCGAGCATACTTACCATAAGCGTAGCACGGTTACATAACTGAACGCCATGTTCAACACTGCTCAACAGTGATGCTAAATGGTACATTGCTCTCACACGAACAGAAGAGGCCTTATCGAGGCAACAACGAATTATGCAAGTGTAAAGAGCAGGCAGCACGGGAACCCGTCTTGTCTTCCTGAGATACCAAAGCTACGCTTCAGAAAAGAAGAGCCTTCATAAGCTTACTTGAGCAAGGTCTTTTCACGCTTTCCAGTTTCAGAAGGAGAATCACCACGGAATCCAGAAAGATCCTCATCTTCCTTCCTTTCACTTGAATTACTTTCAGAATCCGAGTTATCACTGTCTACATCGTTATCATCTGGTGGAGTACCGTTGGAGGCTGTATTGCCTTCAACAGCAACCTAATCAGAACGATCATTGAAAAAAGACTAATTATATGACGCTTTCTTACCGCACTGACGTTAAGGCTGTCGATCTCATCGTAGAAACCTGGTTCCGGATTCGTAAAGACTAAACAGAGCAAAGGTCAGAAAAGTCAAGAAACAGAGTTTGAAACCATCTTACCGAAATTAGTGAGTGTCAAGGGAGCAATTTCGCTGGTGAAGTTTCTGACAGAAACCTTGTGACTCCTTGAAAAGCAATCGATTCGCTGCACAAACTCCTAAAAATAGCTTGAATCTATACATAGAAAGATTTAAACTGCTGGAAAAGTCTTACATAGTGAAAAACCCGTGGAAGTACTTGCAGAACACTGATTACAGACTGAGCCAAACGTGTGCGATAATCTAATCTATCGGTGCACCTTTGGTACAAGTTTTCCAATACCTCAAGATAATAATTTCAATGCAAATAACAAAAAAA